GGAGTCTGGAGGGAGGAAGTTTCCTCAGATGGCCCTTAGGGGGCACTAGTATGCTGCGTGGAGCTTCACAGCTGCAGCTGCTTAGGGCTGGAAAGGCTGATACCTGGGGAGGTCAGGGATGCCTGGAGTACATGAGGGCTTGGAATAAGCAGGGCACTTCTTCAATGCACACTTCCTGTGAAAACCTGAGAGCAAAACGTTGGCCTTAAGAGCAAAACAGTTATGTTATAGAGTGGAAATGTGGAATATGGTCTTATTTTAAAGATAGTACAGAAGACTTCAAAGAAATTCTATGCCTGTAGCTAGGTCTTTGGGCTATGCCTGGAACCCCAGGAGTCCATTCATTGTCCTCAGCTGGAGGGCTGCTTTGGAGTTTGAGATATACTGGTTCAACAGCCACATGGGAGAGATTGGGAAATGGAAGCACAGTGCAGTTTGGGGCTGTGTGTTTGCCTCCATCTCAGCAACTTGCTTCTTGTTGTTATGTGCCGTTGAGTCGGACCCGACTCATAGCGACGCCTTATTGAGTTTCCAAGGCAGTATCACTACGGAAGTAGATTGCCCCATCTTCCTTCAAGGAGTGGCTGGTGGGTTTGAACCGCCAGCTTTCTGGTTAACAGTCAAGTGCCTTAGGCACTATGCTACCAGTAAGCTGTTTTCTCTTGGATGTTTGTGAGCATCGTGGCATCTCTGTGGCCCTGGTGCCTGTGGAGGGCATGCCCCCCAGTGTCAAAGGGAGACCTCCGAGGTCATCCTCAGCTTCTCTCATCATTTCATCCAGGCTGTCAGATTCCATCTGTATAGCTTGCTAGCCCTCCCACCTGCACTTCCCACCTGTGTCCCAAATCCAGCTCCTCTGTCCTTCTGTGCCTGGCATCACTATTTACCAGGTCTCTTCCCCAACCCCATGGCCGCTTCCAAGGCCCAAGATTTATGGTCATTTGTTGACAGTGCTGTTCCTGCCATACCTCTGCACCTGTCCCAGCACCCCCCAGGCCCTCATAACCTCTCACCTGGACTAGAGGTAGCAGAAGTAATAATAAAGTAACAGCAGCTGACACTTATGTAATATTTATTACATGCCAGGCCCTGGTTTAAGTACCTCACATGTATTGGCTCATTGCATTCTCATACTTCTCTCTGAAGTAGGTACTCTTTGTATTTCCATTTTTATAGATGAGGAAACTGAGGTGCAGTGAGGTTAAGTACCTTACCCAAGGTCACATATCTGTCAGGTGGCAGAACCAGGTAAACATCTCCCTGGCTGTTCCCCATCTTTCCTCGAACTAGCCTCCACCAGGTCCCAGAGTCCTAGAGGGCTGTGATCTTGTCCCTTACCAGCCTATAGCACCATAGTTCCTTGCTTGTTGCTGGATGATATTCAGACATTTAGCTTGTCCTTCTTGGCTCCCTTCCAGCCAAGCCCAAGTTTCTCTTCCATCTTGTGGTACTTCCATCAAACTGGACCCCAATTCTGTGTTTCTCTCTTACCAGTCTTTGCCCACAGCCTCTCTTCTGTCTGAATTCCCCTCCATTGATCTCTCATCCTTCCTGTGCCTCAAGGCAGAGGCGTATGTAGGGTATGGCAGATATGGCAGGTATTTCACTGGCCCTGGGCACATGGCACCACTGAGCAGTTTCTATATTAACCTAGAATGGCTAGCAGCATACCTATGGAAAATGGAGTCCATGGCAAGCACTGAAATTTACCCCTGTCTAAACATCTGATAGGAGCTCTGGTAGCATAGTGCCTAAGGCATTTGACTGCTAACCAGAAGGCTGGAGGTTCAAACCTACCAGCCACTCCTCGGAAGAAAGGTTGGACAATCTACTTCCGTAGTGATACCGCCTTGGAAACTCAAGGAGGGGTTGCTATAAGTCAGGGCCGACTCGATGGCACATAACAACAACAACAAACATCTGATATCCATCTTTTACATAATGTTACTATAATAACAGCTCAGAAATACAAGTCAAGCTTGTTAATCTTTAATACATTACCATGCTTAAGGAAGGACCTTGGACCATGCTGGGTTTATAGAAATTGCCCAGTGGCACCATATACGCAGGGCTGGTATGATACTTAGATACACTACTGCCTCAAGGTCTGGCTTCAACACCACCTCTTCTAAGAAACCTACATGATACTCCTGCCTGGAATGGTCTTTCCTTTCTCCCACTCCTCTGACACTTCTTCTTTGACTCCCCCATTTTTCGGTGACCCTTGTCACTTGTTGTCCTGCATACCTACTTGCTGTCAAGTCAACTCCAACTCATAGTGGCCCCATGTGTGTCAGAGTAGAACTCTGAAGACGTTTTCAGTGGCTGATTTTTCACAAGTAGGTCTCCAGGCCTTTCTTCTGAGGTGCCTTCTGGGTGGACTCCAACCTCCAACTTTTCACTTAGTACCCAAGCACATTAACCTGTTAACCATTTTACCACCCCCAGTATACATCTTCTTTCTCCCACTGGAGTGAAGATCCTTGAGGGAAGGAACTGACTTCCCTCACCCTTTCTCCATAAGTATTTGCTAAAGGAATGTGTTGGTATTTGTTACCAAGGTGGCACAATGTATGTAGCACTGGCCTGAGAGCAGGAAGCCTGGTTTCTAATCTTGTCACTACCCAGACCAAGTATGTGACCTTAGGCAAATCACTTGGCACTCTGGTGCCTTAGTTTCCTCATCTCCAGGTGTGGATATCAACACCCATTCATGAAGAAGAGAGCTTGACTAATGACGCAGCAGTGTGGCCCCTGCAGAAAGAACGGGACCTGCAGGACCTGCAGGAGAGGGGAAATGAGTTCATCAGAAACCAAGAGGCAACAGAGTGGGTGTGAAAATTGCCTTGTTTTGTTTTCCATGTCAAAAACCAAAAGAGGCTGCTAAGGCTCAGAGGGGAGTACAAATGCAGTTAAGTGTGAAAATCCCAAGGGGCAGTTGTTGTGGTTGTTGCTGGGTGCCTTCAAGTAAAGTGTGACTCATACAGCCTCATGTGTTACAGAGTAGAACTGCCCTGTAGAGGTTTTTTTTTTTTTTTCAAAAATAGAGCCTACATTTATTATTTATTGCTACAAAGATAACCCAAAGAAGAAAAATAACAACAAAAATAATAAAAAACCCCAAACCAAACCAATTGCCCTCGAATCAACTCCAACTCACAGTGATCGCATGTGTCAGAGTAGAATAGTGCTCCGTGGGGTTTCCTTTTTATTTAATAATTTATTTTATTTTTGTTGTTGTTGAGAATATAAACAGCGATGACACACATGAATTCAAACGTCTACATGTACAATCCAGTGACATTCTTTCAGTTGTGCTACCATTCTTACTCTATTTTTCTGAGTTAATCCTCCCCCATTAACAAAAACTCACTGCCCTCTAAGGTTCCCATCTAATTTTTGAGTTGTTATTGTTACTTTGATCCCATTAGAGAGATCTTAAAAGAGCGCAGTGTTCAAGGCACACATTCTTTATTAGTTAAGCATAACTATTATTTGGTTTCAAGAAGGCTTCAGGGCATATGTTAAGGTTGAAAGATTTCTTAGGGCAATCATTTTAGGGGTTCATCCAGCCTCCATGGCTCCAGAAATTCTGTATTCCATAAGAATTTAAAATTCTGTTCTACATTTCTTCCCTTTTGATCAGGAATCTTCTATAGAATCTTTGATCAAAATGTTCAGTAAGGGTAGCTTGGCACCATCCATTTCTTCTGGTCTCATGGCACTGGGGCAATTAGCCACACATTCAATTTCCTCCTCCTATTCCTGACTCTCCTTTGTTCTCTGTTGTTGCAGGCAAGTAGAGACCTTGTTGTGCCTTGGATGGCCGCTTGCCTATAGGGTTTCCTTGACTATGATCTTTACGGAAACAGATCATCAAGTCTTTCTCCCACAGAGTTGCTGGGCGGGTAGTCTCTTCATTAAGCCCAGACTTTCTCAGCCTCTACACTATTGACATTTGGGGCTGAATAATTCTTGGTTGTTGGGGAGTTGTCCTGTGCATTCATTGTATGATATTTAGTGCATCCTTGACCTCTACCCACCAGATGCCACTAGTACCCTTCCCCCAGACAGTCCAAACTGTCTCCAGACATTGCCAGATGTCCCAGAGGTGAGGGGAGGGGCACAAAACCGCCCTAGTTAAGATCACTGAATTAGCTCACCAACAAGTGTTTCTTTCAGCATCAGAATGAGTTTGGAATCCCTGGGTAGTGCTAACAGTTAACACACTTGGCTGCTAACTGAAAGGTTGGAGGTTCAAGTGGACTCAGAGGCACCTCAGAAGAAAGGCCTGGTGATCTACTTCTGAAAGATCAGCCATTGAAAACCCTAAGAGCACAGTTCCACTCTGACACACATGGGGTCACCATGAGTCAGAGTCAACTCAACGGCACCTGGTTTTTACTATGAGCCTAGCCCTGTGATTCATTCTCTGACATGAGGTCTGGTTGGAAGTTAAACCTTACATGTGAAGAATAGTTAGGGAGGTTCTTGCTGCCCTGTAAGGGTCCTGGTGGTCTACAGGGGATCCTTGAAGACCCCAGGACAGATCTCTTGGGCTGGAACTTGAAGGAGGAACAGGGAAGATTGGAATTGGTTGAGGGAAGCAAGAAAGGCATTTCGGGTGAGGGGAGCAGCTTGAGCCAACACACGAAGCAGGCACAGACAGGGCTCCTTTGCGACGTCGAGCCTTCTTTAGCTGCACAGGGTGAAAGGTGTGTTTCGGGGAACAGTGGGAAGAAAGTTTCAATAAATATTATTCCTGGTGTCTGTGGGACACCACGTCTAATCTGGGAACCCAATTGTGTAACTCGAAATGCCGGATTCCCACAAAACCTTGCTAAGCTTGAACCCACCTCTCCTTGCCCCCGCCTGAGGTCTTGGACTTGATAGGGCTGAGCTGAATAATTCACCTAGGGTCAGTGAAGGCCTGGGGGGCTCAGCCTTGACTAGCTGGAAATGTTTCTTCTTACCCTATAACTAACTGGTTTTTCCTGCAGGTGGTAAACCCAAAAAAGAAAATGAAGAAAAAGAAATATGTAAATTCTGGCACAGTGAGTAGCTATGCCCTCCCTGCAGTGGGTGTAGACATACTGTGCCCCAAGACAGGTCTGATGACAGGGAGCCTTGAGTGTCTGTGTGTGGAAGTGTGGAGTGTGGGAACAGGAGGCCTGGAGAGGCTGGGGGTGGGGGTGGAGGGTGGAGCTGCAGCCAAGGCAGGAGATGGTGGAGACAACACAACAGGGCCATGATACAGAATGAGAAGTCACAGAGAGAAACTCCCTCTGGGGACTTCCTGCAGGAAGGAAGAGGAAGAGAAGTAGTGTTAATTGTGCCCCCACTCTGGGAAATTCCCGGTATCAGAGCTTTTCACAGGTTGTTTCCCTGAGAGGCAGATCTTATCATCCTCTCATCATAAAAGAAGAAACCACCATAGGCAAGGAAATGACTCCACCAAGGTCACACAGTGAGAAAGTGATAGAGTGGCAGTCAACAGGTCTCTGGGGCTGGCAGCTGCTGTGGGCTCTATCCTACTTCATTGTAACCATCCTAGGGTGATTCATGGGCCCAGTGGCTTCTGAGAGCTGGTCTTCGGCACATCATATGTTCATTCAATACGTATTTACAGATGTTACCATATGCATGGGGTCCCGATGAGTCAGAATTAACTTGATGGCAACTATGGTGGGGTAGTGCCTAAGACATTTGACTGCTAACCAGAAGGCTGGCAGTTCAAACCCACCAGCCACTCCGTGGAAGGAAGACAGGGCAATCTACTTCTGTAAAGATTTACTGCCCCAGAAACCCAACGGGGTCTCTATGAGTCGGAATTGACTTGATGGTAGTGAGTTTGGTTTTTGAATGAGTAACACCATGTGCCAGGCACTGTCCTGGGTACCAGGGATACAGCTGGGAACAGTATGAGCCCAAATCTGTCCTCATGGTGTTCTTATTCTGGTGGGGCAAAATAGAAAACAAATACACACACACACACACACACACCCATATTTTATGCAAATAACAGGTGCATTATATGTGGGTTTTTTTTTTTTTTTTGCAAGCCACACATCCCTCTTGGTCATTAGTTTCCTATGGCCTATTCACATTGTATGCATGTGCATGCTATTTACTTGGACTTATTACATGCAAAAAATATAGTATATACCTGTAAGTGCCATGGGAAAAAAAAATACAGTAAGGTATTTTTACTTAGGGACTTAGGAAATGCCAGGGGCAACACTAGTATTTTATGTAAGAAGTTAAGGCAACCTTCTCTGAGAAAGTGACATTTGAACAGAGATCCAAAGAAGGTGAGAGGGCAAGTAATGAGGATATGGGGGAAACGGCATTTCAGGTAGAGGGACAGCTTGTGTAAAAGCCTTGAGGTCGGATCTTACAGTGGATTTATAAAACAAGCCAGTGTCTTTGTGGCACAAATGTACCCATGCTTATCCCTTTTGTATCCCTGACCCACTCTAAAAGTCTGTGGCCCCATCAGCGAGTGCAGCCAAGCTTAGTCATTTAAGTCAGGCAGATTGCAATTCCAGACCTAGGAAAAAGTCTTAGTCAGGAGAGCCCTGAGGTTCCTTTGAGGAGCCTCATTTTTTCCATCTGGATAACAGGGCTAACACATCATACCTACCCTGCTTACTGTTCAGGGTGGCTGTGATGGACCCAGAAGAAACGGAGGCCTGTAAACTGTAAAGTGCTCTGTACACTCAAAGCACACTGACCACTGCTTCTCTGATTGTACTTGTTTCACAGACAGGCTGGAAGAAATGGTTCCTTTGTCTAGAGCTGCAGTGCTTCTCAGAGAGATGCTCTCAGCGTTTTGGGCAGGATAATTCTTTGTCTCACAGGTGCACTTTGGCCTCTGCCCACAGCCGCCAGCATAGCCTCAGTCATTGTGAGAACTTCACCCCAACCCCCCAAAACTTGCCCACATATTCGCAATTGCCTCTAGGGGAGGAGCACTTCCCCCAGATGAGAACTCTGTTGTACAGCTAAAAAAAAAAAAAAAAAAGTTTGAAAACCGTTGACCTTGTTCTGCTTTCTTTCTTTAAAGATGAAGAAACTGAGGCCAAGGGAAGGGACATGCTTTGTCTCAAGTCACACAGTGAGTTAAGGACAGAGCAGAACTAGGCCCTTTTCTTTACCCCACATTTCCTAATCATCACCATAAACATCATACAGGGCCCAAGATGCTTGCTAAAATACAGATACCCAGGCCAGTTCTCTGGGGTTCCTTAAGAGGCCCAGGCTGGGGCCCAGAAATCTGTATTTTTTAACTAGTGGATTAGTGTTTCTGGTCCATTACTATGTGCAGGAATCTCCGGGGGATCTTGTTAAAATGTAGAAAGTCTGTGTTTCTGAATTTCAAGCTGATGCTGATGCCACTGGTCTAGGGACCATGCTTTGAGTAGCAAGTCCCTGGGTGAATCCTTATGGTCAGGCAAGTGAGGGAATTGCTTCAGCCCAGGGCCTGGTGTTCAACCCTGCCTGTGGGTTAGACTCACATGGGGAGCTTTAAAAAGACCCAGGGCCAAAACCTACCCTAGAGACTCTGATGTAATTGGTCTGGGGTCCCCACACCAGCTGAGAGATGCTTTAGAAGATCACCAGGGATTCTAATGACCATCAGTCAGGGTGAGGGCCACCCCATTGCTATTGAATCTGAACTACCACACTTGGAAAGAAAAGAGGATTTGTTCATCAGGGTGCTGGACACCATCAGCCCAGTAGGCAGGTGTCCAGCCCAGCACTCACGTTGTTGTTGTTGTGTGCTGTCGAGTCAGCCCCGACTCATAGCAACCCCTCCTTGGGTATCCAAGGCTGTTATCACTATGGAAGTAGATTGCCCAACCTTCCTTCCAAGGAGTGGCTGGTGGGTTTGAACCTCCAGCCTTCTGGTTAGCAGTCAAGCCCCTAAGGCACTACGCTACCAGAGCTCCTTGAGTCTGCCCTAGTTTTTTGGGGGGTATGTGTGGGAGGGGCTGCCAACATACAACAGAACAGTTTCCACTTATGTAGGTAAAAAGACCCCTGCCCTAATCTTGCCTTCTTTAATTGATTTAGGCTGCCAGCCTTTCACTCGTTTCAAAGGTCCTACTGTATTATTGTAATAGCTGCTAGCTAGCTACCTTCCACTTTCCAGAGGTTGGAAGCCAGGCAACCTCTGCTTGGGAGGGGGATCTAGGTGGTCAGTTACCTCCAGAGGAAGAATGGGTTTGAGAAGGTGAAGGTTGAGAGACTCCAAAGGGATACAGTGGGATGAGTAAGGTTTAGCAGACGTGCACAGCAAAGCATGTTTCAGGATTTCCAGCACTGGGAAGTATGGGGCTTGTTAGCACCAGAAGGCTGTTAGGCCTGTGTCAGGAAGATCTCCCTTGCCCTCTGCACCCCATGCCAGGTCCTAGGATGAGAGAGCAGGTACAGTTGGGGGAGCCTTGTGTGTTGGCTTAAGCCCCTGTGTTCTACTGACCAAAAAGGGAACCCTTCTGGGATGCAGCTTGGCATCAAGATCAAGAGTCTGGGCTCTGTAATCAGACAGATCTGGGTTCAAATCTCCACTCCGCCTCATCCTGGCAGTATCCTTGGGCATTATTGCATTACCTCTTTGAGCCTCAGTTTCCTTAGTTGTAAAATGGGGATAATAATAGTACCTCTCCATAGGGTTGTTGTGGGTACTGAATGCAATAATGTATGCAACACTCCACATATTGAATGCTTGGGAAATATCAGTGCATGTGGTTATCACAAACCACCCACCACCTGCATGCTTCCCACTGACCAAACTTCCTCTTATTTTTCAAGGTCACGCTGCTTTCCTTTGCTGTGGAGTCAGAGTGTACATTCCTGGATTACATCAAAGGAGGGTAAGAAGAGATGTGGCCTCAGGGAGAGGTGAGGGGCCCTGCACACCTTTGTGACCAGTTCTGGTCCTCTCTGGCCTGGCCTGTGATGCTAGGCACTGAGTGAACCCCGAGTGTCTGGGCGGAGGCAACTCACTCAGCGCCCTGCATGCCCCTGGATCCTGAGCGGCTGCAGAGGAGCTCCTGAGCCAAGTAGGCTGGCCTGAGTCACATCAGGTCCTCAGACAGAGATGGGACCCAGAAATGTATGGGACTCCATGACAAAGAGAACCAAGGGCTTGAGGAGGTATAGAGAGCACTAGATCAGGAGTCAAGAGGCCCAGGCTCAGGCCCCTCTTGGCCATGGATTTGCTGGATAACTTTGAACAAGTCACCTTCCCTCCCTGGGCATGTATTTCTGTCTCTGTACACAAAGAAGTTGGAATCGGTGAGTTCTCAGGTTCCTTCCAGCTCTGAGCTTCTGACATCTGATTTGTTCTGGGGGCAGTGATTAACCTGCCCAGTGGTATCAGAGTCTGTAAGGGGCACTTGGGACTGGGGAGTGAACCAGGGGATAGTCCTGGGACCTGCAGGTGGTCAAACACAAGTTAAGGAGCAAGAAGAACAAGAGAGTGCAGTGTCCAGGACATGGGAGGAAAGCTTGATTCCAAGGTGAGGGCCCACTCAACATGCTCCCTGCTAGGACAGGTGCCAGGTCAGAGCGTGGGTAGCTGGGAGCCCACAGGTGAACGCAGGTGAATGACTGCACCTGTCTGAAAAGGAGACAAGCAAGGGCAGCTCTCAAAGACTCACCGAGCCAAGCAAGCACCTTGGCTGCCTGGTTCTCCAGAGCAGAGGGAAAAGTCAGGCGCTGGGAAACCATATTCACTTTCCCATGACACCGCTCCCTGTGCCCTGAACATATGCAGCCTCAAGGATGCAAGCTCACCTTCTATCCATTGAGCACACACCCTCCCTCCCCCCCGTGAGCCTTCTCTGACCCTGCCCTTGCTCCTTCCCCATCAAAACTGCCTCACTTCTATCCCATTAAGCAACCACCCCCTTACATTCCTAAAACCCCTTCGCTGTCTATCGAGTCAATTCCAGTTCTGGTGACCCCATACTGAGTAGAACTGAGCTCTCTATACAGCTTCTTGGCTATAATCTTTACAGAGGCAGATTGCCAGGCCTTTCTTCCATGGCATTATTGGGTGAGTTTGAACCACCAGCTTTCAGTTTGCAACTGAGCACAAGTCCCTGGGCCACCCAGGGATGCATGGGGTCACCATGAATTGAAACCAATGCAATGGCAGCGGGTTACATTCTTAGTATGCTGTAATTTTCAAACACTTCTCATCCTATTTATCCTAGTCATTTGCATAGTGCCCCAACTCACAGAACACAGTGGGCAGGGCAGGGACAATTATCTCCATTTTATAGATGGAGAGATGACACAACTTGCTTGAGGCCACACGCCTAGTTGGGGGCAGGGCTCCTTCCACTCCATGTTTGCTGCCTTTCGTTCCATAGTAATTAATAATTCTGGCCCTGCCTGCCTCACTGTTACTGGGTGGGATATGATGAAGAGGAGACTGCCGAGTTAAAGGGCTGGATGCGGTGAGGTGTCATCAAGAAGGGGCCCGCAGAGACCGGCTAACTGTGCAAGGCTGGCGCCGCCGATACTGGGCAAGTTAGAGCCCCAGCACCAGCCCACACCACACCTCTCTTTAAACTCTGCAGAGTCTGAGTGAGAGCTGGCTCCAGGGAGCAGGCGCCCAGTGTGCATGTCTGGGCAGGAAGCGTTGGAGGAGACATTTGTCTAGGGATCCTCTGCTCCCTGGCCTTCCTCACCTGGCCACCTGGACCCCAGGAGGAAGCGTATAATCAGTCGCTTTTGCCCCCATCTCAGAGGAGGAGCTGAGAACTCAGAGCTTTCATTCTGCCCTGCTCTGCCCTTTAGCAGAGAAATGAGGCTGCAGGAAGTAATTTTTCCACACACAAAAAAAGCCTTTTTCTTTAGTACCCAGAGCAGAGGACTAGTTAAGGAGTAGTGCCTGCCTCACCCCTCACCATATATTTGGAAGAGCCAGACTGACGTGCCCCTCAGCTGTCGTACTGGGGACCAGAACCACTCCCCCAAGAGTGGCCCCAGAGCATCTGACCCTCCAAATATCTCTTTCCCTAACAAAGACACAATCTCTATGTTCCACACAGAGAGGTGACAACAAACTTCTATAATAAATAGTTCTCTAACTTTAGGGCTTACTACAAATCAAGGCTTATTTTTCATTCATGGATGGTATGGCAGGGATGTGTGGGGAGACTCTGCTCCATGCAGCCTCTCAGGAATCCAGGCTCCTGCTGTCTTGTGGCTCCTTCCCCTCTAGAGACTAGAGTCCACTGGATGCTCTGTTCCACCAGCAGACAAGAAGAATGGGTGGGAAGGACTTGGGTCTTCTACTAGCCATGCCCTTGACCCTTCCTGGGGGGCTAGGTGCCCATGAATAGCAGCTCAGTTGTGATCAGGTGGAGAGAAGGCTGTGGTTTCTCATAGGGACTGTTTTGCTAAATGCTGGTGAAGTGAGGGCTCCCTCATTTTACATCATCCCTGGCCCCAAGTTGAATCACCAGAACAGTTTCCCCAAGTGTTATGCCAGAACCTCCCCCTTAGAATCTTGGATGAGACTGGGGGTTTGGGGGATGTTTGTTAAAGAAGCCGATTCCAGGCCCCTCCTCAGATCAACTGAATTGGAATCTCTTTTTTGGGGGTGGTGTAGGTGCTAGAACACCTGTTCTACCCATAGTGTGACAACCACAAGACTAGACTTCATCAGGGATTCATGTCCTAGTCAGCTTTGTTTTATCAGCATTGAGCCCCTAAAACAACCAAGCCCCTAGAAAGTTTCAACCCTGAAATCTGAATCCCCTAGACCTAACTTTTTATTATAGAAAATTTCAAAACATGTACAAAAGTGGAGAGAAGGTATAAATGAACTGCCAAGTACCTTTCACCCAGCTTCAGCAAATACTGACTCATGGCCTGTTCCATCAGCTCTCCCCTCCCTGCAGTTATTTTGAAGCAAATCCATGACAACATAGTTCATCCCAAAATACTTTAAGATGTATGTCTAAAATATAAGGACTCTCTCTTTTTAAAAAAACCTAACCACAATCTCTCATTACATCAAAACATTAATAATTCCTTAATACCACATATTTAGCCAGTGTTCAAGTTTCTCCAGTTGTCTTAAAAATTTTTAAATTGGTTTGTTTTCATCAGAACCCAAACAAGGTCTATATTTTGAGATTGGTTGATTTGTTTCTTAATTTTTCTTTCATCTATGGGGTTGCTCAAGCCCCTGAAGGACTTGCTAAACAGATTCTCACTACCTCCACCTTCCACCCCACCCCACTTCAAGGGATTCAGATTCAGTAGATCTAGAGGAGGGCCTGAACAAGTTGCCAGGTGATAGTGATGCTGCTGGTCCATAGGCCATAGGCCACACTTCCCACTGTGCTCCAATAGTTTCCCACAATCTGGATTTTGCTGGCTACATCCCCTGCAGTGTCATTTACCATGTTCTCGTGCCCCTATATTTCCTGCAAACTGGTAGATAGATCTGGAGGTTCATTTGCATTCAGGTTCAGCCTTCCGGCAAGACCACTTCATGAGTAGGGTTTTATTCTTCTTGCAGAAGATGCACAATATCTGTTTGACTCTTTTTTTGTTGTTGTTGTTGAATAAGTTTAACCCTAAATCTGACTCCAAATCTGAGCCTGAAATACAGGCACATGCTTACTCTAACTCTACCTCACTGGCATCAGGTGGGCCCAGGGATCAGGGTTTGAGGAGGAAATACGTACTCATCATCATATGTCCACACAGAATGTAATCATCTTCAGAGACCTTTCATATTGCTAAATTCTTTTGATCCTCACAACAGTCCTTTAGGGGAGGTGTGGCTGACGTTACTATTGCAGTGTTTTGCAGAATTGGAAGCTGGCTCTTGGAGAGAAGAATGACTTAACCAAGGTCACACACCTGGCAAGCAGAGGGGCCGGGACTGCAGCCAGGGTCTGCCACCGCTGCCCAGCGTTTCCTGCAGCCCTGCCTCTCCCAGGGTAACTTCCCCTCTGTTCTTTCTCTTCCAGGACTCAGATCAACTTCACAGTGGCCATTGATTTTACCGCCTCCAATGGTGAGTGAGGACAAGGGCAGAGCAGCATGGGGGACAGGGCTGAGAAAGAGAGGGGTAGGGCTGGAAGGAGCATGCTTTTAAGGGCTATGTCGGTGGCCCTTGCTGAGAGCCAGGTTCTCCATAATCCCTGGCTTCTTCATTACCAAAGAGTGTCACCTGGGCCCAGAGGGCCAAAGATACAAGCAGGCTGGGGATGGTATCCCTAGGTCTGATAGCTGTCACTAACAAATCTGGGCCCCAGGGATACATACTATGAACCACAACCTTGCCCTTAAGGGACATGCACAGGACATACACAGGACAGTGTGTCCTCTGGGCCCATCCAGAGCTCAAGGAAGAGCTGTGTCCATCCCATGCTTCACGCTCTGTGCAGCCCAGCCCACAGGCTGGAGGAGAAGACTGCAGTCAAGACTGAAGTCTGTATTCCTTGGAAAGGATAGCAGCTCACCCAGGGACCCCAATCCTTATGCTTCTGGGGCTGCCCCAGCTTCCTTCCTTCTTCCTTCCTCTGAATTTCTTCATCAGGCTGTGGCCAAGTCACCAGTAGCAACCACAATCCCAAACTTTACAGTAGTATAAACATCTCAACCGTGGATGGTCACTATGAGTCAGTATTGACTCGATGGCAGTGAATAGGAATGCCCATTTTTATGCCAGCCATGTAGATGTTGGTCTCCTACTAAAGTGTGTCAGAAACCCCTCTTGGGGCTCAAGGTCCTGATGTCACAGAATGGGGAGGATTCCTCATAATAACACTTGTTTAATTCCCCTAACAGTCCCATGTGGTAGGAACTATTATCATCCCATTTTGCAGGTGAGGAGACTGAGGCTGAGAGGTTGAGGAACTTATCCAAGATCACACAGCTAGCAAGAGGTGGAGGTGGGATTGGTACCTTGGCAGTCTGGCTCCAGAGTCTATGCTCCTACCATTGTGCTGTCCTGCCTCATTAATAAGCAAATCAGGAAAATATAGACTCTATTAGGGATGAGGAGAAAAGTTAAGGGTTATGGAGAAAAGTAAAGCCAGAAAGAGGGATTGGAACTATTGAGGGAGACTATAACTCTCAATGGGCTGGTTAGGGAAGGTCAGAAGGGAACATTTGAGCAGAGGTAAGGTATGTGGACTTCTGCAAAAAGTGTCTCATGCAGAGGAAACAGCCATTGCAAAGCTCCTGAGGTGAGAGGCTATGAGGCTGGCCCTGAGTGAGTGATGGAGGATGGTAGGTGAGAGGTAACTGGAGATCAGATCACATGGCCTATGGGCCCTTGTAAGGATATTGGGTTGAGATGGGAGCACTTGAGTATTTGAGCAGAGGAGACGCACGACCTGGCTTGGCTGTAACAGGCTTACTCTGGCTGGTGTGTTGAGTATGGACTGTAGGTGCCAGGACGGAAGCAGGGAGCCCAGTTAGGAGGCTGCTGCAGTCCCATAAGCAAGAGGATGTTGACTAGACAGACCAGAGTGGTGGCAGTGGAGAAGGAAGAAGAAGGTGGGATTCTGGGTATACTGGGAAAGTTCAGCAGCCAGGGTTTCCTATTTCCTACAGACTTGAATGTGGCCTAAGAGAGAAAGACATGAGTTAAGGAGAAAGAAATAAAAGTTGGGGAGTCTTGGTGGTTCATATGGTTAAGTGCTAGGATATTAACCAAAAGGTTGGCAGTTCAGACCCATCCAGAGACACCTCAGAAGACAGGCCTGACCATCTTCTTCTGAAAGGTGACAATCATGAAAACTCTACGGAGCACAGTTCTACTCTGGAAAAAAAAAAAAAAATATATATATATATATATATGTATGTATATACATGCAAATAAACAAACCAAACTCACTGCTGTCAAGTAGGTTCCGACTCATAACAACTACTCCATGGGTTTCCAGGGAGCTTTCTCAATGGAAACAGATTGCCCACTCTTCCTTCTGAGGAGTGGTTGGTGGGTTTGAACCGCCAGCCTTCTGGTTAGCAGTCAAATGTCTTAGGCACTATGCCACCAGAGGCCCCTGCATATACATATACCTATATACATAAAACCAAAAAACCAAACTCACTGCCATTGAGTCAATTCCATCTCATAGCAACCCCCATTGGGTTTCCGAGGTGGTAAATCTTTATGGAAGTAGATTGCCCAGTCTTCCTTCCATGGAGTGGCTGATGAGTTTGAACTGCCAAACTTCTGGTTAGTAGTCAGATGCCTTAGACACTATGCCACCAAGAGCTCCTAACATATATACATACATACACACACACACACATATATATACATACATACATATACACACAGTTATATGTGTGTATACACACACACACACACACACATATATGTATGTATATATAGGGAGCTCTGATGGCATAGTGCCTAAGGCATTTGACTGCTAACCAGAAGATTAGCAGTTCAAACCCACCAGCCACTCCTCAGAAGGAAAGGTTGGGCAATCTACTTCCGTAGTGATACTGCCTCGGAAACCCAACGAGGGGTGGCTATGAATTGGATCTGACTCCACGGCAGTGGGTTTGTATATGTGTGTGTGTATACATATATATATATATAATGTATATATATGTATATATGTATTTGGGTGCCCTTGGATTCCCTTCTGCATTCTGAACCTGAGGTGGCTTGTGGGTCCAGGCTTGCAAATGCCCCCATGCCTTGTGCTACAGGGAACCCCTCACAGTCCACATCCCTGCACTACATGAGCCCCTACCAGCTAAACGCGTACGCACTGGCGCTGACTGCCGTCGGGGAGATTATCCAGCACTACGACAGCGACAAGATGTTCCCTGCCCTTGGCTTTGGGGCCAAGCTGCCCCCTGATGGCCGCGTGTCCCACGAGTTCCCACTGGTAAGAGGTCCCAGGAGGAAGGGCTGGCTGGGCTGAGGTGTGGTGACAAGGGAAGGGTGGAGGGTGTTTCCCATCCTCTAGGGGAGCTCTGGTAGCATAGTGGCTAAGGCACTTGACTGCTAACCAGAAGGCTGGCGGTTCAAACCCACCAGCCACTCCTCGGAAGGAAGGTTGGGCAATCTACTTCCATAGTGATACTGCCTCAGAAACCCAAGGAGGGGTCTCTATGAATCGGGTCCGACTCAACGGCACATGACAGGCTTAGGTACTTGAAAGGCAGCCTTCCGGGGGTAAGGCAGCTGGGTGACTGTGTGTAAGGGAGCTTGTGTCGGGGCCTCTAGAGACCCACTCCCCCCCGCCCACCCCCTACCACCCCATGTCTGGACTACCTACAGCTGGCTTCCTTGTTTCTGACAAGATGGAGATGGCTGAACTAACCCTCAAGACCCAAAAAAGAGGATAAGAGGTGTGGGTTGGTGTGAGCAGCTGCAGCAATTCCAGGGACTCCCTGCATTGGTGCTGAGAGGGGTAAAGGCCAGGAGTGCTCTGGAAGGCGGGCTCCTGGGGGTGGGGGTTATATGGGACATGGCATCATTTGGGGATCCCAGGCTCTGTTGAGATACCTCCTTAGGCTGCCTCCGCTCCCTTCCTCCCATGAGCTGGGCACACTCAGTTGATTGCTCAGTCAGTTAGATGTGTGTTTAGAGAGCATTTCTCATATACCTGCAGAGGGCCAGGTGCTGGGCTGGGCACTGGACACACAAAGATGGAGCAGCCATAGGCCCTTCCCTGAGTTGCTCTGACCCATCAGTCAGTCAGTTAGATGTGTGTTTAGAGAGCATTTCTCATATACCTGCAGAGGGCCAGGTGCTGGGCTGGGCACTGGACACACAAAGATGGAGCAGCCATAGGCCCTTCCCTGAGTTGCTCTGACCCATCAGTCACTGTATGGGGTGGTGGACTTGCCCGTGGTTCTCTGAAGGGAGCAGCCAGGCTCTCAGAGGCCCTTTTGAGTGGGCACTGAGAGGGGAGCAAGGAACAGGCTTGGAGCTAGCTCACCCAGAGCATATGCTGCCCTTCAGGGCAGGCCTGGGAGCTCCCTGTCCTGCCTCTGGCTCCTGCCCACCAGAGAAGAATCTAGCAGAGCCCAGGCCTGGCTCCACTCCCACAGACCACTTGGCTGCCTTCCTTCCCACCCTTCTTTCCATCCTGGGCTCAGCCTCCCCATCTTAAACCCCCAGAACGGCAACCAGGAGAACCCCTCCTGCTGCGGTATCGACGGCATCTTGGAGGCCTACCACCGCAGCCTGCGCACTGTGCAGCTCTACGGCCCCACCAACTTTGCACCCGTGGTCACCCATGTGGCCAGGTGAGCACTGCCCCCACTTTTGGCCAGGGTCATGAGACCCCCATCCCAACTGCTCACATGACTGGGAGAAAGCGTATCTCTCCCATCGACTCCCCTTTCAGGGAACCTTGACCCTGAAGAGACAGCCCTCCCACCTGAGGACCTGTCCCCACCAAAATGCTCAAGGTCCTTGAAGGGAGGGCAACATTCCCAGAGGCCTGACCAGACAGGCCTCAGCCCTACTCCCCACCCCCCAGGAATGCGGCGACTGTGCAGGATGGCTCCCAGTACTCAGTGCTGCTCATCATCACAGACGGAGTCATCTCAGACATGGCACAGACCAAGGAAGCCATCGTCAATGTGCGTGAGAGGAGGTTCTGGGGGCCTGCCTCCTCGCTCCTTTAGGGAAGCACTGGGGCGCGGCTTCTTTCCCCTTCCTAACCTCTTTGGGACCCAAAGATCACACTCAACTCCTGGCTGCATGGTCTGGTAGGATTTTCCAAGCGGGGATGGGGAGGAGCACTGGGCTGAGGTGGGACCCTGTTGGGGAGCTGTGCACCTTCCCCTTAGTCCCACTCAGTGGTCCTCTCTCCAGACACTACTAGCCCACCTCAAGGACCATGCTTCCCCAGCCCCCAGCCTGGCCTCCAGGTCAGGGAGATGAGAGGCCCTAAGTAGGACAGGCCCCAAAATGTGGTTTCCCTACCTGGTGGCCTCTCTAAAAAAGAAGCTTCATCTTCACTGCCCCACCCTTCATTCAGACCCACATAAAAGAGGGACCATACATGATGGTGGTGCACTGGGCAGAGAGGGGTGGGGGTGGCTGGTAGAAGCAAACCTGTGACAGACTTCTCCCCTGATCTCTCTCTCTCTCTACCCTGCTTCTTCTTGGGGCCCACCTTGGTTTCCCTTGATCTTTATCTCTGGGCACCCTCTCTCCCCCTTTCTCTGTCTGTCCATCATTCTTTCTCTCATTTCTTTCCTATTCTCTTGCCTCTCTTTTGACCCATCCCTTTCTGTACCTATCTGTGGTCTCTCCCTCTTAACTGGCCCCTCTGCCGGGTCCAACCCTCTCCCCATCCATGCTGTCTCCCAGGCTGCCAAACTCCCCATGTCCATCATCATCATCGGCGTGGGCCAGGCAGAGTTTGACGGTGAGTCCAGCTTCTGCCCTCCCCTCCATTTCCCATCCCTCACATGTTGCCCCAGAGGCTTCATGTCCCTGGGAATGACCCTTCCCAAGAGCAAGAGCTCTCACCTGAGTGTGTATGACTGTCTAGGTGAATGTGCAGGACATGAGGGTGCCTTTGTTTGCTTAGGGAGAGGTGTGTCAGGGTGTGTGCACCACACCCACATCCCTAGGCTGTGGGGAGGAGGCTCCAAGTCACTCCTTCCTCCAACCTTGGGAGCCCTGGGAAGGCAGGAGTACTGGGCTAGAAATCAGAAACCTGCCCGGTTAGGATTCTCCTGTCTCAGGGCTCAGTTTCGTCATCTGTAACTTAGAGGCATGAGTCTATGGTCTTTTTCCTGGATTGGCCTGGGATTGGAGGATAGTCTACTGTCCTACCAACTCAGGGCCCCCACCATTAATCCCCCCATGCCACTGCTCCTTACACAGCCATGGTGGAGCTGGATGGTGATGACGTGAGGATCTCCTCCCGGGGGAAGCTGGCTGAGCGGGACATCGTGCAGGTGAAGCCCAGGCCCTGTCTGCCCCCCAGTGGAAAATGCAAGAGCCCCTATAGCCAGGCTTACTTCACACCTCTTTTGGGGAGGGCTCCTGGAGGGAGGCACTGGGAACCCCAAAGTGGCCTGGCCACCATAGAGGGGAACAAGGGTCAGTCCTTGGGTCACACTTGTCTCTGGGCAGGACTCCTCCTTGCCATCTCACCTAACATTGACTCCTCACCCTAACATTGCTGGAGCTTCCACCACAGTGTTCTGTGGCTCCTTTCCAAGTCCTGCCAGCCTCCCAGGCTCTCTAGCCTCTCCAGGCCTCCCCAGTTTCTGCGGAGCACCTGCAGCCTGATCCCTTGCACCTTAAGTTGTATTCCACCAGGCTGCCCTCACAATAAGATGCCAAACCTCTTGATGGCAGAGGAGGTGTCTTTAGTGTTGTTGCAGCCCTTTTGAGAACGACCATTGCATGATTGATTGGGTCAATATCCTAACATCCCCTCATAGGATGCAAATGTAATAATGAGCAGACATCTTTGTCCTTGGGGAATTCCTGTCCAGCAGAATGTACCCTCAAGAAGCACCTCTCACTGAATCTCATGCTGACTGAGTCCCTAGTGTTTAGGAAATGCAGAATGAGAAAACTGACATCCCCCACACTCCCTTGATTAAAAGAGTAGGAACATTCCAGGAATGAAAACCAAAGTTGAGGAACTGGAAAAGAGCAGAGGCAACATGGAGGAAGGACCAGTATAGAAAGACCTGGAGGCAGGAGTGAACATGAGGTCCTCAGGGAATGAGGGGTGGGAAGGAGGACCCAGGAGGAAGCCAGAGGGGCTTGGCTTTGGATACTGGCCAGATTAGCCCCAGAGAGGAAAGAGGAGAAGCAGAACCAAAGAGGGAGGGCTCTGCTGGAGAAGGTGGAAGAGACCCTGAGGGCAGAGAGTCCCTGAAATCAAGGTATTCAGTCAACAACCTTTCCTGAGCACCTACTAAGTGCCAGGCTTTTGTGCTAGGACTAAAAGATGAGGAATCTTGTTCAGTGGGGTAGTCTTGCATGGAATACGTGTTTAATAAATACCTGTTGAGTGAGTGAATGAATGGTGATTCTGACACAGTCCTTGCCCTCAGGGAATTCATCAGGGGAGGTGGGGGTGAAGGCAGAAGCTGAGGAAGGGTGAGGATAGGACCCCAGGCCTGGAGATTTTCAGGGCTAGGGTAGGAGGGAGACTGGAACTGACTCTGCCTCCCTGCCCCGCAGTTTGTGCCCTTCCGGGACTACGTGGATCGCACAGGCAACCACGTGTTGAGCATGGCGCGCCTAGCCCGCGATGTGCTCGCTGAGATTCCGGACCAGCTGGTGTCCTACATGAAGGCACAGGGCATCCGTCCGCGTCCCCCGCCTGAGCCCCAAGCCCACTCGCCCCCGCAGTCCCCAGCCCACACGCCCCCTGGCTCCCCCCTACACACACATATCTGAGCCTGTCCAAACGCAAGCAGGCGGCTGGGACTTGGGGAAAGCCAGTTATACAGTGGGCAGGGTCCTCAGACCCCATCTCCTGTCCAGCCTAGACCCTGGGACATCTATGTACCTCGGGGAGGGCTTGGGTTGGGGGCTCTAGAAACTCTGCCCTAATTTCCTGATCCACTCCATACCCAAGAGGTTGAGGGCTAGAGGGAAAGAAGGCTCTGCTTCCCTGCTAGACCCTTCGTACCCTGGCTCCTAGTTCTAGCTCAGCCAGGAAGGTGTAAGAGGGATGATGGGGGGTTCTCCCTCAGCCCACCCTGGACAATCCCCTCTGCTCACCTATAGGCGGGCAGGGTGGGCTGGGCCTCCCCCCTGCAATCCTAGCCCTCTTCTCTGGTGTCTAATCCTATCCCAAACCCCCACGCCAGTCTCTATCCTGTGCACTATTCCAATGATCCTCATGAAGCTAATGGGTTTGCAGGAATTCCTGGACATGTGACCCCTCCCGGGCACACTTGTATGCAATAGGAGCCCTGCAGACCCAGATGGAGAGGCTGTGATGGTGGGCTGGTGGCCCATGTGATGGGACAGCCCTATCTGGTGCCTCTCAAGCACAGTATGATGCTGGTCCTAGACACACAGACCCACAGGCCTCTTCCTGGTGTGGGCCCACGGTCCCCTTCCACAGGTGACTCCCAGATGAACAGATGAGCTAGAGGCTTCCCAGGGCTCCTGGTGCCCACCCCTCTGCTGCCCAGCTGGAGGTCTGGGCAAGGAGCAACCCAGTGCTGGTGCTCCCACACTGCCTCTGCTCTCTGAGCAGCCTCTGTCCCATGGGGATAGGAGACAGGAGTCCTGAGTTCAAGTCCTGCCTCTACCCCATCCTTGCTGTGAGAACCCAAGCAAGGCCCTTCTGTCTCCTGGGCCTCAGTTTCCACATGTTATGGTTGGTGAAAAAGTTGGCCAGGTGGTCCCAGCTTTTCCTTCACTTCTGACATCCTAAGAGTTCATTCATCCCATGCCCAGCTCCTCCCATCCCACACCTCACCCATGTGATCTTTCTTTACCCCAGGCCGTCTTGGCCCTAGGATCACCCTGTCCTGTCCTGTCACCTCAGACACACCCTAGTCCTTCAGCCTTGGGCTTTGGTGTCTGAGCCCAAGCCTCTGCCCCTGTTGTGGGAAAGATGGGAACAGGTGAGCTCATCCCTGAGCTCATCCAGCCACCCAGCCTTTACCCACTCAGGGAGCAGGACATGCATGCCATCCCCTCCCTGCTGCATGGGGCTTCTCAGCCCACTGAACCTGACCTTCCCATGCCTGTTAGAGACCAGGCCCCACCCTGTCTGATGCTCGACACTGCTTCCCTTCCAGTCATGCATGAAGGTGGTGTTTCTACTCTGTCTGGTCCTGTGCCCGTCTCTGAGACAGTCTCTGTGTGGAATTTGCCTTAAACTGAAGTAAATTTGGTTCTTTTACTAAAGTCCCGTGTTTTATTTTCTCCTGAGAAAAATAGCACAGGCATTGTTCAACGGAGGCCAAGTTCTCTTTTCTTTCATTTCTTTTACTCAACAAGGATTTACTGAGCAGCTACTCTGTGCTAGGCTCTGTGGTAGGCACTGGAGATGCAGCAGTGAACAAAATACAGGCTAGTCTCCACATGGAGCTTGCAACAACTACACAGATAAAACAGGGAGAAACTCAGTAAGGACATAAGCAAATAGGTAAATAACATAATTTCAGGTGGTGACAAGAGTCACAAAGAAAAACAAGACAGGAGAGTGATGAGGTGATGTGGTATTTTTGTGGTTTTTTTTTTTTTAACATTTTATTATGTTTCAAGTGAACGTTTACATGGCAAATTAATTTCCCATTCAATAATTTATACACAAATTGTTGTGTGATATTGGGTTGCTGTCCCCACAGTGTGTCAGCACTCTCCCCATATCCACTCTGCCTTTCACATTTCCATCCCTTCAGTTTCTCTGCCCCTCCTTGCCTTCTCATCTTTGCTTTTGGGCAAATATTACCATGTGGTCTCGTATAGTTGATTGTTCTAAAGAGCACATTCCTCACAGGTATTATTATTTATTTTATAGGCTGTGGTAGTTAAGTTGTGTGTCAACTTGGCTGGGCCTGGTTTTGAGTGGCTGGGTAGCTGGATGTAGTTATTCCCTACAATGAGACTGGTTATCAACTCCATGGTGGAATCTACTGGAGCAGCTGAGTAGCTGCCTTAGGGATGTGCTCTGCTTCCAGTATGTAAGAAGCATTGAGAAAGATCTCTGCAGCTTTTTGGCATGCTTGGACCCTGCATGTAGCCAAGTCTTCATTCAGCAGCCTTCCATGTTGTCTGCCAATCTTGGAACTGTTAATGGACTTGAATTAGTGGCCTCCTGTGTTACTTGATAATTTTGGGACTGTGTCATTTTACTTGTCAACCTTGGGTTTGTCAGCCTCAGCAGCCAGCTGCTGCCTGAGTTAAGGGAAGCCTCCAACTTCAGTGGGCCAGGAGCAAGAGGCAGAGCTGAAACCTAAGATCAAGGGGCTTTCACCCCAGCCCCTAGAGCTGGGACTTTGAACTCAGTTTCTAGCCTCCTAAACTGTAAGAGAATAAAATTCCTGTTTTTTAAAGCCATACACTTGTGGTATTTTCTGTTAGAGCAGCACTGGAAAACCAAAGCATCTAATCTAAACAGGCCAATCTATTATTTGGCTGAAAGGTGACCTCAAGGAATGGCTTCATTTCTAGGTCAAATACCTCATGGAACTGAGTTACTAGGCTTGAAAGCTAAGAACTATAGTCTTGAGGGACATCTAGGATATAAACCTAGGACAGGGATTGCTGGATCATATGGTATTTCTACCGCTAGCTTTTTGAGGAAGCGCCATACCATTTTCCATAGTGATAGTAACACTTTATAATACTACCAACAGTGTATAAGGGTTCAGTCTCCTCCGAACCTCACCAGTATTTGTTGTTCTCCATTTTTGTTGTTGTTTTCTTAATCAGTGCCAATATAGTTTTGATTTGCATCTCTCTAATGTCTAATGAGGAGCTCTGGTAGCTTAGTGCCTGTTCTGGTTACCTAGTACCACTCTGGCAGGAATATACCACAGATGGGATGGCTTGAACAAACAGGAGTTTATTCTCTTACAGCTCAGGAGGCTAGAAGTCCAAGTTCAAAGTGCCAGGCACTAGGGGCTGGGTGAAAGGCCCTCAACCATAGGGTCCAGCTCTGCCTCCTGCTCCTGGCCCACTGGAGCTAGAGGCATTTCTACACTCAGACAGCTACTAGCTACTGAGGCTGACAAACCCAAGGTTGACAAGTAAAAAGGCACAGTCCCAATGTTACCAAACCACACAGCAGGCCATTAATTTAAGTCCATTGTAAGTCCCAGGGTTGGCAGAGTATGGCAGACTGCTGAACAATGACACAGCTACATGCAGGGTCCAAGCATGCTGTAAGTTAGAGGCTATCCCCAAGGCTTCTCCTTATATACAGGAAGCAGACCACATCCCAAAGGCAGCTTCTCAGCTGCTTGTGGTAGATTCTACCATGGAGTTGATTGCCAGTCTCATCATGGGGAATAACTACCACCAGCTGCCCAGCCACTCAACAGGCCCAGCCAAGTTGACATACAAATTTAACTACCACAATTCCACCCTTTGTCAACTTGGCACCTGTACAGATCTCTCTCACTGGGTGGCTCCAGTCCCCTAGTTCTTCTAAGTGGTGACCTCACCCCCTTGGCATGGAGGGCCCATTCCTCTCCCTCTTGAGTATGACAGCCCTGCCCCCTCACTCTTGGGCAGCGGCTATGGCTCCATCCCACTGGCTCACATGAATGAGCAGCCCCACACTCCAGAGCCAAGTTGGTGAAGGCCTGGCTCTTTGAAACCTGGGGGGCTGTGATCATTCCACCCCCAAAGGCCATGGTCCTACCCTTTCAGGCTGAGGCAGCTCTGCTTCCGTTTCCTTGGTCTCTCTGCTTCTGCCAATTAATGCCAAAGGCAACCCACTCCACTGGAAAACTTCCTGCCCAAAAAGCACTTGGCTTTCTTGCTCTGTGGTCCGGCCAACCTGCTATTCCATTTCATGCCAGTCTCTTCACCAATTAATGCCTGAAGGCAACCCACTCCACCAGGAAGCTGCCTATCCATGGCACCTGGCTTTCTCCTCCATGGGCTGGTAAGCCTGTTTCTGTTTAATGCCAATCTCTGGGCTCAGCTACTGCCATCTTTCATGCTGGTCTCTCTGCCAGTCTCTTGGCTCTGCTCCTGCCATCACTCAGGGTCTCTCTGCCAGGGTCTCGGGTCAAGGATGCACTCCACTCCTGTTTCCACATTTTAGGTATCTGTCAGAGCAGCACCCCACTCTCAGTACCAAATGTATTAGACTGGGTTCTCTAGAGAAGCAAAACCAGTAAAGCTTATATATATATATATAGAGAGAAAGATAAATTTACCTTAGGAAAATGGCTCACACACTTGTAGAAGCTGGCAAGTCCCAAGTTCTTGGATCAAACATCAAGCTGGAGGCTTTTCCCAACTCATGCAGCTGCAGGGGCTGATGAGCTCAAGGTTGGCAGGCAGTATACTGGCTGTTGACTCCAACAAATGACGAATCCAAGATCTTCAGGCCGAATGGTGGATTGTTCACTCACAGACAGTTGTAGGCAGCACAACAGAATTCTGATCCACAGAGAGTGTCTCTTTTCCCAGGATGTCCATAAATATACTGGAAGCAGGCCACACCCCTAGGGAAACTCCCTTTCAACGGATTGGCTGCTCAAAACATATACATCTGATCCCATCATTGGAACAACCTATATAACAATTGCTTAAACCACACAGAATTGTGGTCCAGCCAAGTTGACACACAGCTCCAACCATCACAGTCCCTAAGGCATTTTACTACTAACCAGAAGGCTGGTGGTTCAAACCCACCAGCCATTCCTCAGAAGGAAGGTTGGGCAATCTATTTCCGTAGTGATACCACCTCAGAAACC